CGGCGAAAATCCGTTGACTTCCCGCGTTGACCATTGACAACTAAACTTGCAATTAAATATAAATAACCTAGCATGCTAGGTTAATTGTGTGATGGTGCTAGGTTAGTTGTATGATTGTGTTAGGTTAGTTGTATGATTGTGCTAGGTTAGTAGTTGCTAGGTTAATTGTCTGATGGTGTTAGGTTAATTGTATGATTGTGCTAGTATTTTTTTTAAACAAACAACGCCCCGAAGGGCGGGGGATTGGGCTCGATCCCCAACCTGTATATAGAACAGGACCCCAAAACGGGCCCAAAATATCAAAAAGCTACAAATAGTATAGTCTCACAGTCAAAAAGAACCAAAAACAGAAAGTGGAAATAATACAAGGTCTGCATCGGGCTAACAGGTGCCCGGAATAAATGTATGATCAAATGAGAACAAATAACCAATCTACTAAAAGCGGGAAGACGAGTATCCAAGCTGGTCCATCCGTACCAGCGTGCGAAGGCGGAGTGGAGCAGTGTCAGTCTGAAATGTGTGTAGGTCAGGGGTGGTGGCGCCAAGGCTGGCAAGGTAGTCAGCATATCTGTTCCCCTCACGGAAAATGTGCGTAATCCTGTGATGGACAGACTGCAGAAGAGCTCTAATGCGCATAAGCGGGCGCTGAATCTGCCACGAGCCCTGGTGGCCCGAGGTCAGGATGGTGACGACAGCCGCAACGTCCAGCTCGATCCAAATATGACTAGAGAGGTGAGCAGCAATCTGAAGGCCAATCTGTAATGCCTGAATCTCTACGTCGTAACTCGAGGAGGCCTGAAAGGACGTGTGGAAGGCGGTGATGAGGGCGCCGCTGTGGTCCCGGATCAAGCCTCCTCCTCCGACAACTCCAGTCTGGCGATCGAAAGAACCATAAGTGTTCATCTTGACCCAAAGAGAGTCGGGTCGAAGCCAAACAACAACTCTGGGCCGAGGGGGCCGGACAGGCACAGGGGGAGCCACCATGTAGTGGTGTGGTGGCGTGTAGCCTGTCCAGTCACAGGCAGTGAGCCTGCCCAAAGATGTGAGGAGTCAAAGATGTCTCTCTACCTGCAAAACAATGTGAGAAAGCAAAAAACTAATATCCCTATGCTTCGCACTATTCCTTTCCGTCCAGGTGAACCAAAGGATCAGACAAGGAATGAGGAAGCCTACGTGTCTAAGGTGTGTGCTCTGTAAGAACAAACTCAGGAGCTCAAAGAAACTGTCTGTGGAGGATAGGGATATATGTGTCCATGTGGCAAAATGCTTCCACACTCTCCTCACAATCTCACTCTCAAGAAAAAGGTGGGTAAAGGTCTCGGTCTCATGGCATCCGGTCTCAGAACAACACACACACCGAAGAGGAAGGAGATCCCCCTCGCATGTAAAACAGTGTCCACGGGTATCCGGCGCAATAAGAGGCGCCAAAGGAATACCAAAATGGTAGGGGTGAAAAGATCGCTCCAGATGGCACCGAAGAGAAGATTAGGCCGATCTCTCAG